GCTTTAAGCCAACTTTTTCACTCTCCTCTTTCACTTTCATCAAGAGGCTTTTTAGTTCCTCTTCACTTTCTGCCATAAGGGTGGTGTCATCTGCATATCTGAGGTTATTGGTATTTCTCCTGGCAAAAACCTATTCCTTTACCTAATGGTTATTCTTGTCACAAACTTACTGTGTGCTTTACTTATATGTACTTACATCTGCTACAAAAGTTAAACTATCAGTCACTTCTGTTTTCCAGAGACAGCTTTTCTCGGCTTCTGACCTGAACATGTATTTTGATTTGATTGGAAATATTTTCTTCACCTCTTGGCCCAGCTGAACCCCTAACCCTTATTCGGGACTTGGTTAAGAAAACACGTTTTTCTCAAGAAAGAAGCATATTCTGAGGTCTAACATGGCTTTCTGTGTGATTCTCTATCCTCAATCAGACTATACCATTGTAATACACAGAATCCAATTATTTCTGTAGTATGAATTCCTTGTATCCTCATCTGCATCTGTGACTAAGTTATCAGTGACTGAGCAGATGGCGTGACTACCTACAGTTCACAGGTGTGCACCACAGAATAGGGCTTTAATGATATCTAATAAAGAAATACTGTATCTGTGACACTTCTATATTATTGTTCTCATCACATAATGCCTCTCTGTGATCTGAACCTCCATCTCTGCTTAAAATAAGTAACCTCAATTAGTCTGTATGTTGGCTTCTTTCATTTTACTACAATTTAAAATAAAAGGTCAGAGCCTTCAAAAACATTCGGTAGTATCCAGTATCTAATATATTTAACATTAAAAGAGTGATAACAATGATCTATTTTTAAAACATTTATGAGATATGGTTGACTTACAATGTTGTGATGCTTACTTCTGAACAGCACAGTGACTCAGTTACATAAATATATATTCTTTTTCATATTCTTTCCCATTATGATTTGAACTATGGACAGAGATTCGTGACATTGAACAGGAGACAGGAATCAAGACCACCCCCAAGAAAAAGAAATGCAAAAAAGCAAAATGGCTGACTTAGGAGGCCTTACAAATAGCTGTGAAAAGAAGAGCAAAAAACAAAAGGGAAAAGGAAAGATATTCCCATCTGAATGCAGAGTTCCAAAGAACAGCAAGGAGAGATAAGAAAGCCTTCCTCAGTGATCAGTGCAAAGAAATAGAGGAAAACAATAGAATGGGAAAGACTAGAGATCTCTTTAAGAAAATTAGAGATACTAGGGGAACATTTTATGCAAAGATGGGCTCAATCAAGGACAGAAATGGTATGAACCTAACAGAAGCAGAACATATTAACAAGAGATGGCAAGAATACACAGAAGAATTGTACGAAAAAGATCTTCACAACCCAGATAATCACAATGGTGTGATGACTCACCTAGAGCCAGACATCCTGGAATGTGAAGTCAAGTGGGCCTTAGGAAGCATCAATATGAAGAAAGCTAGTGGAGGTGATGGAATTTCAGTTGAGCCATTTCAAATCTTGAAAGAAGATGCTGTGAAAGTGCTGCACTCAATAAGCCAGCAAATTTGAAAAACTCAGCAGTGGCCATAGGACTGGAAAAGGTCAGTTTTCATTCCAATCCCAAAGAAAGGCAATGCCAAAGAATGCTTAAAACTACCGCACAATTGTACTCATCTCACATGCTACTATATTAATGCTTAAAATTTTCCAAGCCAGGCTTAAGCAATATATGAATCATGAACTTCCAGATGTTCAAGCTGGATTTAGAAAAGGCAGAGGAACCAGAGATCAAATTGCCAACATCCACTAGATCATCAGAAAAGCAAGAGAGTTCCAGAAAAACATCTATTTCTTCTTTATTGACTATGCCAAAGCCTTTGACTTTGTGGATCACAATAAACTGGAAAATTCTGAAAGAGATGGGAATACCAGACTACCTGACCTGCCTCTTGAGAAACCTGTATGCAGGTCAAGAAGCAACAGTTAGAACTGGACATGGAACAACAGATTGGTTCCCAATAGAAAAAGGAGTATGTCAAGGCTGTATATTGTCATCCTACTTATTTAACTTTTATGCAGAGTACCTCATAAGAAATGCTGGGCTGGAGGAAGCAAAAGCTGGAATCAAGACTGCTGGGAGAAATATCAATAACCTCAGATATGCAGGTGACACCACCATTATGGCAGAAGTGAAGAACTAAAGAGCCTCTTTAGATGGGAAACAATGGAAACAGTGAGAGACTTTATTTTTGGGGGCTCCAAAATCACTGCAGATGGTGACTGCAGCCATGAAATTAAAAGACTCTTGCTCCTTGGAAGAAAAGCTATGACCAACCTAGACAGCATATTAAAAAACAGAGACATTATTTTACCAAAGAAGGTCCATCTGGTCAAAGCTATGGTTTTTCCAGTAGTCATGTATGGATGTGAGAGTTGGACTATAAAGAAAGCTGAGCACCAAAGAATTGATGCTTTTGAATTGTGGTGTTGGAGAAGACTCTTGAGAGTCCCTTGGACTGCAAGGAGATCCAACCAGTCATCCTAAAGGAAATCAGTCTTGGGTGTTCATTGGAAGGACTGTTGCTGAAGCTGAAACTCCAATACTTTGGCCACCTGATGCAAAGAGCTGACTCATTTGAAAAGACCATGATGCTGGGAAAGATTGAAGGCAGGAGGAGGAGGGGATGACAGAGGATGAGATGGTAGAATGGCATCACTGATGTGATGGACGTGAGTTTGAGTAAGCTCCAGGAGTTGATGATGTACAGCGAAGCCTGGCTTGCTGCGGTCTGTGGGGTCGCAAAGAGTCAGACACGATTGAGTGAACTGATGTACTGACTTTTATATCACTAATGTTAGGGAAAAAGGAAATCCATAGTTGAAGTTAGAAACTGGTCCTTTGAGAACCCACCTCTGTTTGCCAGTATCAGCTTTTGTCCTGATTGTTCAAATACTTCTGAATTGAAATCTGGTTGTAATTTAATAGTTATGTGTCTTTGGGGATTTACATCAACTCTGTTCATCTCAGCATCCTATGCAACTATGTTGCTACACCCCAAACCCTGCGAGGGCTTTATTACAGGAGACAGGGTGAAGTGAAAAGACCGGCCTTGGGCTCTCCACTCACCCTCCTCAAGCCTGGTGTCACTCTGCTTTTTCAATCTCAATATATATTGTCACTACAAAAATTAAACAGTCCAGGCATACTACTTTCTAGGGGTGTGTATTTGTACCATGACCTTTTAAATGTAATTTTATCCTAAAGGTAAGATCCATGGATGTAACAAAACAGCAATAAGCTGAAATTGCGCTTAAACTATATTCATTCAGGGAAATTATGAAAGTTCAGAATTAAGAAGTTTACCATGTTTGTACAGTAACTAAGGACCTTCAGATGCACTGGGTTTTACTCTTAAAGATAGGAACGGGGGTTCACTCCTGAGTGGTTTGGGACAATGCTCACCGGGGCTAGAGGGGATTCTGAAACACTTTAGGTAAAAGTGAAAGTCACTTAGTTGTGTCTGGCTCTTTGCAACCCCATGGACTATACAGTCCATGGAATTCTCCAGGCCAGAATACTGGAGTGGGTAGCGGTTCCCTTCTCCAAGGGATCTTCCCACCCCAGGGGCTGGACTGGGGTCTCCTGCATTGCGTGCGGATTCTTTACCAACTAAGCTATCAGAGAACCTCGAAACGTGTTAAACAACAGGTCATTTTCCAAGCAGATTTCTGCCTTATAGCCATTCCTGCCATCGTGTTCCCCATAACAGGATGAGGAGTTGAACAACTACTGGGGGCCAGAGACATTCATACATGATGGAAACCATACATGATGCGGTACGACAGTCGGGAGGGCACAGTCATTGCTGTAAATGTGCCCCATGGTCTTCTATTGCAAGGATGAAGTCAAACATGAATTGTCCTCTTAGGGTCCTAAACTGACAATCTGGTCCACTCCCCACAACTCCCCACCCGCCATCTCCTCCTCAATTGTTTATCAGGCAAGGGGGGAAGTTAGGAAACACAGCCCTTCCATGGAGCACATGGCTGTGGAATCACAGAGAAATACTCCAGAGAGAAAATCGTTCTTCCCTGTGCTACTTTGTAAGTTGAAATCAATTTTGCTTTCCAACTGAATGTGAGAATTGCAAAATATAAATCTTTAAAAATCCAGGTGAATTCTGCCTAATTTACTTGTTATGTGGTGGTGGAATCTCTTTATTTTAAGACAGGAGGAAGCAAATTTCCCCTTCCATAACTGTATGTGGTGAAACACTTAAATCAGGTAAAACAAGTGGGTATAAAAACCCAACTCAGCCCAACCCAACAAAAAAGTCATTTGTGCTATCTGTAAACTTAGAAATTGATCTCTAAATATTTGAAATCATCATGTAGAAAATGTGAGCTATGGAGCCAAATGCCAAAACGGAGTCTTGGATCTCCCTGGTGTTTTTAGAATGCTAAAACCAGAACTGCGGTGCTGGAGAATACTCTTGAGAGTCCTTTGGACAATAAGATCAAACCAGACAATCCTAAAGGAAATCACCCCTGAACATTCATTGGAAGGACTGATGCTGAAACTGAAGGCTTGGCCACCTGATGTGAATAGCCGATTCATTGGAAAAGACTCTGAGATGCTGGGAAAGATCGAAGGCAGGAGGAGAAAGGGGCAAAAGGGGATGAGATGGTTGGATGGCATCACTGACTCAATGGACATGAGTTTCAGTAAACTGCAGGAGATGGTAAAGTACAGGGAAGCCTGGCATGCTGCAGTCCATGGAGTTACAAAGTGTTGGATACGACTAAGCAACTATACAACATCTCTATAGATGTATATATATATACATATATACATGCATATTTATATATATATATAGTTTATTCATCCAAAATCAGAATATACACTCTTTTCAAGTGTACATGGAACATTCTCTAGGATACACTATAGATACACTATGAACATTCTCTATTATACACTAGGCCCTGATACAAGCCTTGATAAGTAAGAAAATAGAAATAATATCAATGATCTCTTCTGACCACAACACAATGAAACTAGAAATCAACGAGAAAACTGAAAAAATCAGAGCGGACGCAAGCGCGGCGCTCCGGCTTTCTCTCCAGGTGTGGCCTTTGAAGAAAAACTGTCGTTTGAGAATCATGGTGCGGCCTGGACTCTCCGCCGCTGCTGAAGAGCGGCAGAGAAATCTGCAGGAGTACCTAGCAGCCAAGGGAAAACTGAAGTGCCAAAACACCAAGCCTTACCTGAAAGCCAAGAATAATTGCCCAAATCCTCCGCCTTCTAAATCTACTATTGGACCCAAAAAGGATGTTACCAACCACATTGCCTTGCCAGTCAGAGCTACGAGATCCATCAGCATTAAACTGCAGTCCAGACCTGCCAATATCACCAGGTCTCAGAGACCAAAGTTGGAGCCACCAACACTAGGTAAAAGGCTCACTTCAGAACGGTTTCTTCTAACCCAAACGGTAAGCCTCTTGGCAGTAGTCACCAGCTGCATGGATTTGGATCGTCCACTGATGGAGAACAGCCAAGAGAAACCACGGGATCACTTAATATACAGGAACTGAAAACTACAAAGCAGCAGGTAACAGATCAAAGAATTGCTAAACGTACAGACCCTGTGGACAATACGCATGTGGAAAATGAATCCCTGGGCGGCTGTCTAAAGGAGATGAATAAAGAGAACTTGCCCCAAGACTTACCAGACTCTGAAAGGAAGCCAAATCCTGAATCCTGGACCATAAATAAGCCCAAAACAAATCAAACCAAAAGCACTTTGGCTCCTACCGGAGAAGTCTTGGGCAAAAGCTCAGGGAACAGTGCTGCTCTGACACAGACAGTTAGGAAACCATTCGTTGAAGAAACACAAACCAGGGTTCTACCAGGGAAGTCTCAGAAACTCTCTAGAGGAGCAGACCTTATAAGACCAGGGGGAAGCCCCCCAAAACCCTTCCCTCTCACTTTGTCCAGACACTTAATAGATCTCAAGCCACAAAGAAAACAGTGTTTAAGGACATAAAGGCTGTAAAGGGTAATAGAGGTAAGTATGAAAGACCAAATGAAACTACGTTACAGTCATACACTGTTACTGAGCAGAAAGTAAAACACAGCAAACCCAGTACGCACCCCAATGTGCTTCAAGGAGGATGTAACCACAGACATCCAAACATTAAGCAAGATCATAAACCCACTCAGGCTTGTTGTAGACCTCAGACATCATATGCACTGCAGAAATCAAAAGCCATAAGCCAAAGGCCAAATTTGACTGTTGGCAGTCTTAACTCCATCATTCCAAACACCCCTAGCATCAGAGCAAATGGAACCACTGGGAATAAATGCAACACCAGCTGTCAGCAAAGAGCACGGACTTTGGACTCCAAGTTCAAAAGCGCTCCTCCCCAGAATTGTTTTCTAAACAAGACAGTTCCCCGGATTCAAGCTGGTGGCCCAACCGTAAGTGGAAGAGGAGTCCCAGATGGGGCGCAAACTAATCCACGTCAGAAGATCGCAGCAGAGGATCGAAGGAAACAATTGGAAGAATGGCGGAAATCTAAGGGGAAAATCTATAAACGGCCTCCTATGGAGCTTAAAACAAAAAGAAAAATAATAGAGGAAATGAATATTTAATTCTGGAAGAGTATGGAAAAAGAAGAGGAAGAAAAGAAAGCACAACTTGAACTGTCCAATAAAATTAACAGCACTCTGACAGAATGTCTGCAGCTCATTGAAAGGGGTGTACTTTCTAATGAAGTATTTGCCATTTTGTCCAATATTCCTGAGGCTGAAAAATTTGCTAAATTTTGGATCTGCAGAGCAAAGTTGTTGGCAGGCAAAGGCACCTTTGATGTTATTGGGCTCTACGAAGAGGCCATTAGAAATGGGGCCACACCAATGCAAGAGTTGCGGGAAGTTGTCCTTAATATTTTGCAAGACTGAAACAGAACCACAGAAGGAATTATCTCTAACTCCTTAGTTGCTGAAACTAATATAACATCAGTAGAAGAGCTGGCCAAGAAGACAGAATCTGGAGCATCTTGCCTTTCCCCAAAAGAGAGCGAACAGATGTCAGTAACACCCCAAATAACAAAGTCAGAACAGGATGGTCATCCTGGTATCAAATTACAGATCGCCCCGATCCCTCGGATAAATGGGATGCCAGAGGTGCAGGACATGAAGCTGATCACACCCGTGAGGCGTTCGGCCAGGATTGAACGAGCTGTGTCCCGCTACCCGGAAATGCTGCAGGAACACGACCTCGTGGTGGCTTCTCTCAACGAGCTCTTAGAAGTGGAAGAGACCGAGTGCTTTATATTCCACAAAAATGAGGCTTTGCCTGTAACGTTAGGGTTTCAAGTCCCTGAATCATAATTTCTTGATGCTTTGTTTTTTAAGAGACATTTCAGAGCCACCATGAGACAAGAAATGCACTTACCCAGGTGACCTGGGAGAAACTGTACAATGGAGAGGCATTGTGGATGCAGGCCATGGGCCCCTGGAACTTGAAAAGTAACTCACCTGGACTGACTCTCAAATTTTATATCCCTACAGGAAAGTCTGGTTTATTTAAGACTGGAGTTGGCCACAGTTTTACAGCATACATAAATTTCCAACTTTTGAAAATTAATTTATCCCACAAGTACAGAAAATTCTGTAATTTTATTGACCTACTTTAATCCCACCATAGTTACTTTTTATATCAGGAGGTCAGATCCACAATACGATAAACTTTCCTTCTGGCATCCACCCTAGCAGAGAGGGTATGTCCTCGCAGCCTGAAAGACCAGAGCGTAGACACTGGCCTTCCCCACTTAGATGGAATGTAACCCACCATCTGGTCAAATGCCCTCATTTAGCTGATGAGTTTACACCAGCCGTGCCTTGGCTTAGAGGTCACAAATGACTTTCCTGTGTGATCTTTGACTGCCCTCACAAATCCCTGGAGATGAGGGGTAATTCCCATCCTCTCTGTGCCTGGTTTCCTATAATGATACACAATCCTGAATTGGGGGTGGCCATTAAGCTTTTTATATTCAAACCTTGTTTGCATTTATTATTCAGAAATGCTTCAGAAAAAAGCAAAAGGGAGTAGCAGAGAGCAGTGGGGAGAGGACCCTTGCCTCTTCAGTTCTATGCTCTGTAGGGGACATCTGGCCTGAGAAGACCACCTAAGCCCCAGAGACTCCCAATTCACCTTTCCCAGTCAGAATCATTGTGTAAATATATTGTATAAAAGGACCTAGTTGATGTATTTTAGATTTCAGTTTTCTTGATATTTATATTATCTTAAAAAAAAATTAACCTTTGAAAAAAAAAAAACTGAAAAAAATCACAAACCCTTGGAGGCTAAACAGTATGCTACTAAACAGCTAAGGGGGTCACTGAAGAAGTTAAAAGAGTGATAAAATTAATAAAAATACCTGGAGACAAATGAAAATTACATGATCCAAAAATCTATGGGATGCAGCAGAGGCAGTACTAAGACGAAAGTTGTAGTGATACAAGTTTGCCTCAAGAGACAAGAAAAAACTCTTAACAATCTAACCTTATGCCCAAAGGAATAGAAAAAGAATAAAAGAAACCCAAACTTAGTAGAAAAGAAATCTTAAATATCAGAGGAGATAAGTGAGTAAAAAATTGAAAAACAGAGAAGATCAAGGAAACAAACAGCTGGTTTTTTGAAGAGTGAAACAAAGCTGATAAACCTTTAAAAATATTCAATCATGAAAGAAAGGGAGAGGGCCCTAATTGATTTAAAGAAACAGAAATGAAGAAAGAAGTTATACTGGCACCACATAAAGTGGTGATACCATACAAAGTATCATAAAAGACTACTGTGAGTAACTATTCAGTTCAGTTCAGTTGCTCAGTCGTGTCCAACTCTTTGCGACCCCATGGACCATAGCGCGCCAGTCTTCCTGTCCATCACTCAACTAACTCCCTTGAGCCTTCTCAAACTCATGTCCATCGAGTCAGTGACGCCATCCAACCATCTCATTCTCTGTTGTCCCCTTCTCCTCTCACCTTCACTCTTTCCTATCAGGGTCTTTTCCAGTGAGTCAGTTCTTTGCATCAGGTGGCCAAAGTATTGGAGATTCAGCTTCAGCATCAGTCCTTCCAATGAATATTCTGTACTGATTTCCTTTAGGATGGACTGGTTGGATCTCCTTGCAGTCCAAGTGACTCTCAAGAGCCCTCTCCAACACCACAGTTCAAAAGTCTTTTCCAACACCATAAATTCTTTGATGCTCAACTTTCTTTATAGTCCAACTCTCACATCCATACATGACTCCTGGAAAAACCATAGCTTTGTCTAGACCTTTGTTGGTAAAGTAATGTCTCTGCTTTTTTTAAAAATTAATTTTAATTGGAGGCTAATTACCTTGTAATATTATATTATGTTTTTGCCATACATTGACATGAATCAGCTTTGCTTGTACATGTGTCCCCCATCCCAAACCCCCCTCCCACCTCCCTCCCCAGCGTCATCCCAGTGCACCGGCCCTGAGCGCCCTGTCTCATGCATCGAACCTGGACTGGTGATCTGTTTCACATATGGTAATATACATGTTTCAATGCTATTGTCTCAAATCATCCCACCCTCTCCTTCTCCCACAGAGTCCTAATGAGTATGAAAGGGGAAATTAACAATAACACAATAATAGTGGGAGGCTTTAATACCCCACTCACACCTATGGATAGATCAACTAAACAGAAAATTAACAAGGAAGCACAAACTTTAAATGACAGAATGGACCAGCTAGACCTAATTGATATCTATAGGACATTTCACCCCAAAAGAGAGTCCAAAAGTCTGTTCTTTACATCTGTGTCTCTTTTGCTGTCTTGCATATAGGGTCATTATTACCATATTTCTAAATCCCATATATATGCGTTAATATATATCGATGTTTTTCTTTCTGACTTACTCCACTCTGTATAATAGGCTGCAGTTTCATCCACCTCATTAGAACTGATCCAAATGCCCTTTTTAATAGCCGAGTCTCTGCTTTTTAATATGCTGTCTAGGTTGGTCACAGCTTTTCTTCCAAGCAACAAGCATCTTTTAATTTTATGGCTGCAATCACCATCTGCAGTGATTTTGGAGCCCGCCGAATAAAGTCTCTCACTGTTTCCATTGTTTCCCCATCTATTTGCATGAAGTGATGCCAAAAAGCATGAGTAAAAAGTGATGTCATTAAAGCATGAGTAACTATATATCAATCAAATAGACAAGCTAGAAGAAATGGACAAATCTCCAAAATGTATGATCTCTCTAGACTAAACCAAGAAGAAAAAGGAAACACCAACAGACCAGTTACTGGTACTGAAATTTAACCAGTAATTTATTTTTATTTTTTATTTATTTTAACCAGTATAAAACTCCGAACAAACAGAATTCCAGGGCCAGATGGCTTCACAGGTGAATTCTACTGGACCTTTAGAGAAGAGTTAATACTGACCCTACTAAAACCATTCCACAAAAACTGCAGAGGAAAGAACACTTCTGAACTCATTCTGAGGCCAACATCACGCTGTGGCCAAAACCAGACCAATCACAGAAACAAGAAAGTTGCAGGCCCATAACACTGATGAACATAGATGCAAACTCCTCAATGAATTACCAAGGAAATCCAGGAACTCATTAAAAGGACCACACATCACGATCAAGTGAATTTTATCCCAGGGATGGAAGGATGGCTCAGTGCCCACCTATCAGTGTGATACACCACAGTAACAAATCAAATAAAAGCAATGTTACCATCTCAGAATATGTAGAGAAAGCTTTTGACAAAGGTCAACAGCCATTTATGCTAAAACCTGAAAGTGGGTATAGAGGAAACGTACCTCAGCATAAAGACCCATGTACATAAGTGCTCAGCTAAAATCAGACTCAGCAGTGAAAAGATGAAATATTTCCTCGAAGATCAGAAACAAGAATGTCCACACTTGCCACTTTTACTCCTAGTGACAGTAATCAAAAGAGTTTTAAAAGTCCTAGTGACAGTAATCAAAGAGAAAGCAATAAAAGGAATCTAAATTGGAAATTAAACTGTCACTGTTTCCAGGTGACGTGATCCTCCACACAGAAAATCCCAAATGTGCCACTAGACAACTACTCGAGCTCAATGAATTTGGTAAGTTTGCAGGATACAGAATTAATATACAGAAATCCGTTGCACTTCTGTACACTAACAAGCTGTCAGAGAAATTAAGGAAACAATTCCATTTACAATCACACAAGAAAGAAAAAAACTAGGAATAAGCTTACCTAAGGTGGTTTAACACCTGTACTGAGGAAACTATGAAGACACTGGTGAAAGAAAGTGAAGATACCACAACTGAATAGAAACATAGACCATGTTCTTGGACTGGGTTAATCAGTATTGTTAAGCTGACCATACTCCCCAATGTAACCTGAAATTCAGCACAATCCCTATGAAATATCAATGGCAGTTTTCACTGAGTGGAGTAAATAATTTTATGGCAACACAAGAGACCTTGAATAGCCACAACAACTTTAAATCTGGAGGTATCCCATTCCCTGACTTCAGGCAGTACTACAAAGCTGACTGAAACATACAATGCTGGCCAAAAAAAGGAGACACACAGATCAATGGAACAGGACAGATTCCAGAAAGAAACCATGCACTTACGATCTACAAAGCAGTCAAGAACGTACACTTGGGAAAGACTTCAGTAACTGGAGTGAAAACTGGACAGACATGTAAAAGAATGGAATTTGAATATTCTGTAACAACAAGTAGAAAAATAAAATCAAAATGGATTACAGAGCTAAACTTAAGATTAGAAACCACAAAATTCCTAAATAAAAACATAGGCAGAACATTTGGCATAAATGATAGCAATATGTTTTGTATTTGTCTCCTAAGAGAAACAAAAGTAAAAAATAAACATATGGGACCTAATTAAACAACAAAACTTTTGCACACCAAAGAATAACAAGACAAAATAACCACCTGCTGGAAGGGAGAAAATATTTGCTAATAATATGACCAATAAGGGTTTAATATCCAAAGTACATAAAAAAGCTCATACAACTCAGTATCAAATGAATAACCTGATTAACAAATTGGCAGAGGACCTGTTGTTGTTGTTGTTTGGTAGTTAAGTCATGTCTGACTCTTTGCAATCCTGTGAATTGCAGCACACTAGGCTTCCCTGTACCTTACTATCTCCCTGAGTTTGTTCAAACTTACATTGAGTCAGTGATGCCATCCAACAAACTCATCCACTGCTGTGTCCCTTCTATTGCCCTCAATATTTCCCAGCATCAAAAGTCTTTTCCAATGATTCTGCTCTTTGTATAAGGTGGCCAAAGTATTGGAGGGTCAGCATCAGTCCATCCA